TTCACTGATGGATTTGGCTCCTTCATTGAAGATTTGATTGATTTCCAAATCAAGGCCTGTCAACTGTTTCATTTCACTAATTAATTTAACCATATTGTCATCAATTAGATTATTTCCAATTTCCAAAGTGGTCAATTGAGTCATACGTCCTAACATGTTAAACCAATTGTCATTTAAAATATTGCGTGCAAATGTTATTGATACAAAACAATCCAAAAATTCATTATTTACTTGATTGACCAAATGATTATTCGCCATCATTGAAAGCTCGGATCGATCTCGGATGACGTTCAACCATTGTTTTGTTACCATTACGCAATTTAATAATACGAATTTCCAATCATCACATAAATAGGAAATAATTTCATAAATTACATCATCAGAAAATATTTCTATTACAATCATTAGCAAACTTTGATCATCACACAAACCTTTAACTTGAGTCATTTTTTTCAATTCCAGATACTACCGTGTTCCATCACATCGGAACAACTACCAACCATCATCATTGTTATTTATCATCATTATAATAGTAATATTTGTGGAAATCTGATAATATTAATATTTTAGTGAAATTTAATATTGTTCAAGGTTTGGGTTTGGAAATACATACTCTTTGATTATTCAATGAAAAACTACTTAACCATTCATTATGATATCTTACAAACTTGTTCTATATATTTAGGAGGAGCTACCCTGAAAGGATGACATCTTTAAATCAAATATTCATCGAACAATAAGGCACAGGTTTGAAAGACAAATATTGAAAGTTAGAAAAGCGAGTAAAAATGAAAATTTTATAATTTAAAATCGGGGAACAGACCAAATGATGGATAAAGAACGTTGTTCCTCCTTGATCGACTAAGTAATTATCAAGAAGGAAGGTTTCTAAATATTTGCAAAATTTCATCTTCAATGATAATTTTCAAACCGAAAAATTTAAAAATAGAATAGATAATTGTGAGACGGAAAAGTAACATACAAAAAAAATGTGATGTCTTCTCTTTCTCTTCCTCATTCAATCATCTCATCATATCATCGTATCATCGTATCATATCATCATATCATCAGGAGTTGTTTCATAATAATTTTAAAAATATATATTGATTGGAATTATTTAGAAGATGTTTCGGAATTGGAATAATATTTATTTGGAAGTTATTATAATGGTGGAGGTTGGGTTTGGGTTTGGGTTTGGGTTTGGGTTTGGGTTTGGGTTTGGGTTTGGGTTTGGGTTTGGGTTTGGGTTTGGGTTTGGGTTTGGGTTTGGGTTTGGGTTTGGGTTTGGGTTTGGGTTTGGGTTTGGGTTTGGGTTTGGGTTTGGGTTTGGGTTTGGGTTTGGGTTTGGGTTTGGGTTTGGGTTTGGGTTTGGGTTTGGGTTTGGGTTTGGGTTTGGGTTTGGGTTTGGGTTTGGGTTTGGGTTTGGGTTTGGGTTTGGGTTTGGGTTTGGGTTTGGGTTTGGGTTTGGGTTTGGGTTTGGGTTTGGGTTTGGGTTTGGGTTTGGGTTTGGGTTTGGGTTTGGGTTTGGGTTTGGGTTTGGGTTTGGGTTTGGGTTTGGGTTTGG